CCAGGCAATTCATAGTTAAAAATTAAAGAGACTCTACAGCCTCACTTTTTTTTTCTCTTTTGGAGAGGTTTTCGCTATAGGGCGCGTGCGCTCGCCAGACAGACAGAGAGAGACATAGAGACAGAAATCAAGAAATCACCCCCCAGGGAGGATGGTCACGCCGCAATCCGTTCTCCTCCATTCTCTTCTCTGGATCTTGGGCACACACGCACACGCGCGCCTGGTGTGAGTTCTAAGCCACTGGGTCGAGAACGTGACCCGCGGTCGACTACGTGGGAGTCCAGCGACATAGCCATTATGCTAACTGCTGGTTCCCGAGCCTCACTTTTCAGAACTTGTTAGAAATTATAACCACAGGGATCTTGTAGACCACTGAATTAAGTTGCTTTGCTTAGCTGTAAATCTCCCATATTTGTTTACTTTCTATTAAACGTCAGGGTTTCATAGTTTTTTTCTTTTTTTTTAATGGCTCAGTAGTAATACATAGTATATATGTGCCACACTTTCAAACCATTCATCTGTTCGTGGACTGTTGGGTTGGTTCCATGTCTTAGCAATAGTGAATAATGCTGCAATAAACATGGATGTGCAAGTGTTTTTCTGACTGAGTGTATTCCTAGCCTTCAGGTAGATACACGTAGTGAAACTGTGGGTCATATGATAGTTCTATAAAAGAGAGGCATTGTATGTCCCTACTTAATATAAACTGAATGTCTGCACTCTATGGCAGGAACTGAAAGATTGGAAGGTGTGAAAACGTGGAGAGCAACTGTGGACGCTAGAGGCAGAATGGAAGGAGAGTGAGAAATAGTGGAGGGTGGGAAATGGCAGAGAGTGAGGGGGAGGGAATAAGGAAAAACAAGTAGAATATTTAAGGGACAAAAAAATGGAAAATTACCTGCTGATGATAACGTGTATGGTAATAACTTTGGCTAGACTAATATAACAGTGTATTCATGCTGGGAATACTTATTTTGTGTGCTATAATGATATACAATGATTAAATGTAAATAATAATAATACATGTAAATAATAATAATAAATGTAAATAATAATAAATAAATAAAAAGAACTACTGAATTGAGATTCATATGTGCATTACAGTTGGTGAAGCACTAGTTGATTTCATGGTCAGTTCTTATCTTTTGTATTAGCAAAACTGACCATATCATTCATTTGCTTAAATCCTTCTGTTTTCTCTTCAGTTTTATGATGTTGACCAAAATCCTAGGCATAGTTTTCCAGGATCATCCTGGTCTGCAGCATTTTCCCTACTGTTGACTGCCTTTTACAGGCAGCTGGTCACCCTGATTGTGTGTGTTTGTAGTGTCTTCCTTCTGTATTCATTTCTTAGGCTTCCCAAAGAAAATAACAAACTGTGTGGCTTAAATCCAACTGAAATTTATTCTGTTACATTTCTGGAGGCTAAAAGTCTAAAATTAAGGTGTCAGCAGAGCTGTGCTCCATCTGGAGATTTTAGGGGAGGTTTTTCCTCGCCTCTTCTGGCTTCTGGTAGCTCCAGGCATTCCTTGGCTTGTCTTGGCCTCACTCACTCTAGTCTCTGCTCCGTCTTCACAGGGTCATCTTCCCTCTTCATCTGTCTTCACGCGTTGCTCTTCTGTGTGTGTCTGTGTCCACATTTCCCTCTTATGAGAACATTAGGTTCCTGCTAGCCTGTGGCCACATTTTACGAGAACATTAGGTTCCTGCTAGCCTGTGGCCACATTTTCATCAACTTACCAATATATGACTTTGTTTTATATGCTTTCTGTGTAAAGACACATTATTTAATATATGTTGTTGGTTGATTACCATTGATCTCACAGACAGTAGCTTTACAACACATGCCTGGGTAGAGCTTACGCAATGCACGTATTCTCTATAAGATCTATCAAACCTGTCTGCGCTTAGGAACACTAACCAGCGCTTTAGCACCACTCTTGGGGGCCATTTTAAACAGCAAAATCACTGAGAAAAAGCACAAATATGTGGACAGTGTACCACTAAGTAGACCATGAAAAGGACACTTGTTTGCAGTAAGAGTGCAGAAACCAGAAGGTATAGCAGAATGTTGCCTTGTTGAGCTTCATCTGGGAACATGAGCATTGGGTGACTCTAGTTTTCGCCTCTCTGCACGTGTCTGCAAATGACCGCAAAGGCACCACAATTAGTGGTTTTCGGTGTACAAATAAATTTTAGTAAGTAGGAAAATTCACAAATACAGAATCTGCAAACAATGTGGATTGACTGTATCTCCCTGTAGGCTTTTGCTTGTTGTTTTTATTTTACATATTTAATTTTAATTTTATTTTACATATTTAATCACTATATATCATTACAGCTTGTAAAGTGAATTTACCCTACATGAATACACTCCACACCAGTCCAGTTGAAGATACTGTACACGTATCAACAGATAATCATCCACTTCTGTGCTTGCTCAGGCTTTCTTTTTTTTAATTTAAGTTTATTTATTTATTCATTTATTTTTAATTTGACCAGAGAGAGACACACACAGAGAGAGAGAGAGAGTGAGAAAGCAAGCCACCAGGTCCAGGACTTGAACCGTGGTTGGCCATGTGGGAGTGTCCAGTGCCTTAACCACCATGCCACCTGCTGGTCCCAGGCTTTTGTTTTAAAAACAGAGTGTTTTGAAATATTTCAGGTAACCATTGACCCCTCCCCAATGAGTGATTTGTGAGAAAACAAGGATGGAAATACCGTAGTACTAGGGTTACAGACTGGAAGCAGCCCCACTCATACACACCTCTCATCTTTCTGTATTACCGAGTTGGAGCACAGCAGTGGTGCGAGCCATCCATAGCAGTTCTGCCTGTCATGTCCTGCGGAAGGACTGGTTGAAATCTTCAGAGCAACAGTCTAAGTGGGTTGATAGTCCCCACTCTGCTAGGCAGAGCTCATAGAGGGCACTCAGTGTGATCATGTATGTATGGCCTTCCTCAGTCCTTCCAGGACTCTCGTATGCCTCCTTACCATCTTGCACACAGGACCCTTGGTGTGGCACTTCCCTCTTTTCCTGTGTCCTTTCAGACTGGAGCCTAGATGGTGGCAATGTCTTAATCTTTTACAATTTTGGGATGTCATTCTCAATACACGATCTTTGAATGGATGGGTGGACAAATGAATGACTGGAACGACTTGAGAAACCACTGAGAGCTGCTGTATTGGGGGCTCTTTGTGGCCACGCCATGTCCTTTTGAGATGTCTCTAAGGCTCCTTGGGCCTCCAGATAAGTGCCTGGGGCCAGCCTCCAATGGCAACCTCACCTAGGCTAATCTCGGAACTGGACTGGTCCTCGTATTGAACATTTCCTGTGCGAGAGGCAGCATTTGAGCTTTGTAGGATGATGAGAAGTAAAGAATTTAACACTTCAGTTAACAGAATGTACACAGTTGAAAAGTTTCTAGGTAAGGTAAGAGAGATTAAAGACTACTTTTAAGAGTTGCCCTGAAGCAGTGTTTGATTTCCAAGTGAGCAGTAGAAGAGCAATGAGAATCCTAGGAGTTGGAGGAGAAAGGATTACTTCTGGATGGAGTGTTCTGGAAGGCCTGTAGAAAAAGAGGGTGGAGAATGGATCATGGAGGGTGGGTATGGATGGGCAAAGCCAAGAAAAGAGGAACAGAGGGCAAGGTACAAGCGAGGAACAGGAGTTGTATCAAGAATGAGTGGTCCAGAACTGAGAAGTGTTCAGGAAGAGCTGCAGGCAAAGGGTGAGACTCCTCCTGGCTCGTGTCATGTTGCTTGTGTTCTGGCATGAGCTGGGGGCAGGGAATAGAGGAGGAAGGAAATCTTTGGCAAGCTGAGAGAGAATAATTGAGACATTAATCATCTCAGCTTAACTTCATCTGAATAGAATTTTCAGAGCTCATTTTTGGAGGGAATGACTTAAAAAAAAAAAAAGAGACCACTAGGGGATGAAAAGAGCTCTATTATATAGTTCATGAAGTCCTACAGGACAGAGGTTTGAATTGGTATTGTATTTGCTTTCAACTCCCAGAGCAAATGTAAATTTAGGTGTAAGTACGGTGACGGTGAGTGGCAGGCGGTTTCGAAGGTATTTGTTAGTGATTTCACTCTGGATATTGTTCGGTGGACAAGGGAAAACTATGTTAGAAAGGAATCTGGAAGGAGGAGGAGAGGCATTGTGAGGACTGGGAGAAGGAAGGTGTTCAGACCATGACATGACTTTAAAAGGGAAAGTAAGTTAAAGGAAGAAGGAATGATGTCAGGTCAAAGAGAGGGTGGTATTGAAGAAAGATGCCAGAGGGAGCATAAGAGACTGCTTTAGGGGGAAAGCAAAAAGGAAGATGAAGCAGACCCGGGTGCTGGTGAGCTCTGAATGTAGACCGTGAGTCGGAGGGACTGGCTGGCTGGCAGACAACCTTGGGGAAACCAAGCGAGTTGATTCCTTCACAGCTATTAGTGCCAGTATTGGGAGTTTGAAGCATTTCTAGAACCCAGATAGATACCCACATGCAATGTTTCATTATCCTTTTTCCTATAGCAACTGATTTGCTCTCTTTACCCATAACTTTTGGAATGATAATACCCAAAGGTACAAAATCCCCATCCTCTGAATGCCTGATACATTGACGATTTCTGCTATGAACCCAGCCAAGGTAGCGGGGTAGACAGCCTAGATTTGAGCACAGTCACTTGGAGGTGTCTGTCCTCTCTAGCTACCTGAGTGTCTCAGTCCAGGCCTCCCATGTCCCTAGGACCTTCTCAGCTGCAAGCCAGCTCAGAGGATGGGTGGAGCTGGTCCATCCCATCACCCCACCAAGACAGCCCCTTGGGAGTGAACTGATGAGTAAACAGGTGGCTCTACTACAAAGCCCTTAAAGACACCCTCTTATCCCCCCCCCCAACCCCAAAGAGGGAGAAAATAGAATGGGCCAGGCAGGAGTATAGAACTTCATCGTCAAGACACAGTGGTCAGTAGCAGAAATGCCTCAAGTTGTGTTTCTCTTCTACAAAAGGGTACCATGCCTGTGGAAAGGATGCGAATGCGCCCGTGGCTGGAGGAACAGATCAACTCAAATACGATACCAGGGCTAAAGTGGCTTAACAAGGTAAGTGTGTCTGGTGTGTGTGTGCGTGTGTGTGTGTGTGTGTGATGAGGGGAGCCCTTGTTGAATGCACACCCATGTGAACTGTCAAAAGTAAAATGATGTGTTCAGAATCTTAACAATCATTCATTACCAAAACTAAACAGCCAATGAGAAACCATCATAAAACATCAAATTATCCTAGCAAAAGATTTATTTAAAGAATTATTTTATATAACTTTATCTACCTGTTTATTTAATTTAATTTGAGAGACAGAGTCACGGGCCGGGGGGCGGGGGGAGGCGGATAGAAAGTGAGAAAGCAAACCGCCAGCTCCAGGACTTGAATTGTGGTCAGCCATGTGAAAGTTCAGTGCTCTTACCCACTACGCCACCTGCCGACACCCTAGCAAAGATTTTTATCTTATGCTCAGACTCTAGCCCCAACCTGGAATTACTAGGTCAGCTCACCCTTGCTCTTTTGTGTTTTTCTTCAATGACTCTTTCCTTCTTCCTTCTCCCATTTTTTCTAAGATTGGAGGACACTGAAACTCCAGAGTTTTATATTGGGGATAATACTGATTTTCTTTGCAGTATTCTCTATTTAAGAGAAATTTCTTTGGTTTTAAAACAAGTTTTAAAAATCAAATCCTGCAACCATGTTTGTGTTCTCCCGTATTGTTAAAAAAAAAAAAAGTAGCACTTTATCATTTACAACCTCCACCCTCAATACTCATACATACGTGTATAAATACTCCCGTACTCCGTTAACCGTAGTACTCTCCTTTCATTGATCCTAGCTGTTAGGGGTGAATCAGGAAGATATAATTATTGTATAAAAATTAAGAAAACCTTAAGAATACACAGTTACAATCTAGAAAAGCAGCTGCATGTGATTATATCGCACCTACTTCAAGGTGGCCCAAGGGAGTTTTTCTCCCACTACCAGGAGCGGTTGCAATTCTTCTGAGCAAATAAAGTCTTTTTCTTCTCCACTCCCTCCTCTTTTCTTTTTTAATCTTAAGGACATGATGAATAATTTAGCTAGTCAGGCTTTATCTCTGTATCAGGTGCATGAGCTTAGAGCCAAATTGCAGATCACGGCTGATTCAAACGGGATATTGCAGTGTATTTTTTTTTTTTAACTGATATCACCCCTGGCTTCATTTTATCTTTTCCGTATTTTTCAAATCTTCTTTCTTTTTGTTCTTTTCCTTTCATCCACTTATTTTTTTAATAAATAATAAACTTTTGTTTACAAGAGGAAAACAAATCAACACTATTTTTGTCCTGTCTGAAATAATTCACAATAGTCTGTATTTGTTCATTTCGCTCATCAAAAAGAATACTTTGCCTAAAAGAAAGGTCTGACTAGTGTGCAAAATGTTTATAGTCTTTTGCAAAATTGTAGTGTTGCAACTGAAATTCATTTTGTCAATGTCTTTTGAATGAACTGAATAAAGTTTTTATTTTTTTATAAAAGGATTACTTTTCTCCTGGGTATCCTCATAAGTGATCAGTTCTCTGCTCATCAATATCCAGTACTTCCAGCCGTCCATGGTGCATAACAGGTGCTCTGTGGTCCAGGGACAGAATCTGACTCTGCAGGACGGCAGTTGGATGCGTCAGCAGAGAGCAGATTCTCTGATCAATTGTGAATGCAAATCGACTATGTTTACAAGGCTTGGACCAAGATGCCTTTCTGGGAAGGCCTAACCGTTTGCCCATGTCCACAGCATGATGTGCTGGTCCTTTACCCAGGAGCACGCTGGCTCCTTCCACATGATGTCATTAAACGTTTGCCAAGTGAAGGGGCATCAGATGCCTGCCCAATACATGGAGCCATTCCCAATGTGGGGCCAAGTTCCCAAGGAGGGAGCATGCCACGTCACAGGGGGCCATGAAGAGGCACCAGTGCTGGTTAGGAGGTGGAGGGAGATCAGAGAACTGTGGGCAAGAACCTCTATTGTGGCTTCCACCAGGGATGGATTTGGCAATGGGATATGGAGCTTAGTGGCTGATTGTGGTTCCTGGGAAATGTTTCCTTGGTCTTAAGTAGACACAATTAAGAAGAGGCTTCTCATTTTCCCTGGATGTTTTATTTGAATGTGACATTCAGAACCACAGCAGCCATTTTCTGACCTTTCTTGAAAAGAGCTCATCCAATTATTTTTAATTTAATATTACTGTATTTGAATGTATCTGTTTAAGCAAGTCCTTTCTGAATTGGTTGGGTATGAAGTGGAAATAATTTAGTAAACGATACGTTTATTTCATGTGACCTGTCACATATTGGAAGGTTGTAGAGCACACCTAAGACTTTTGAGCTTGCTTTATTTATAGAGTTTTCAATTTAGATATGTATTTAGCTTCTTCCAAAGTAAAAAAAAAACAAAAAACAAAAAAAACCCCAAGAAATTGGGTTCTCCTTTGTCTGCTTAGTTAATGGGACTTATCTGAAGATATAGGGAAGGGGGAGATGATAGTAAAGAGAAGTAGGGTATGAGGAGACACAGAGTATTAAATAATAATAATGATAATAATAAAAGCTATTATTTATTGACTATATACTATGTGCTAGGTATATGCATTAACTCACATAGCCCCTCTTCTGGGATAGGTGTTGGTATTGTTTTCCTTATTACAGACAAGGAAACTGAGGCACTGAGAGGTTTAGGAGGATTCTCTTTTTTATTTATTTATTTATTTGGAGAGGTAAGTAGGATTCTCTTATTTATTTATTTATTTATTTGGAGAGGTTTTTGCTATAGGATGTGTGCGCTTGCCAGAAAGACAGAGAGACAGAGAGACAGAAAGCGAGATATCACCCCCCAGGGGGGATGGCCACGCCGCAATCCCTTCTCTTCCATTCTCCTCTCAGGATCTTGGGCATGCATGCACACACGCCCGACATGAGTTTAAGCCACCGGGTCCGGGATTCGAACCACAGTCGACTACATGGGAGTCCAGCAACATAGCCATTATGACAACTGCTGGTCCCTAGGACTCTCTTTTAAAAAACAAGATAACAACCAATTTTGATTTAGAGTGTGAGATAAAAGCAGATGTTCCTGAATTCTGAAGAGAAGTAAGTTTTCTATTTTTTGCTTTTCTTGTCCTAAACACATCCATTGACTCTGGTTGGCTTGACACTGTGCAGAACACAGTCATTATGCCTCCTTTGTCATGCGGGCACTTAGGCCGTGGTTTGTCTTATGTAGGGGAATGGATTTTGTACCCCTTCCCACGTCCCCCCAAGCTATCTCCACATCTCTCCTGCAGAACCTATAAATGAGACCTTTTTTGGGAAAATAATTTTTGCAGATCCAGATAAGGACCTCAAGATCATCCTTGGTTATTTGACTGAGCTCTGAGTCCAGTTGCAAGTGTCTTTTTAAGTGACACTTACAAAGTAAGGAGAAGACAGAGAGAGAGAAAGAGACAGAGACAGAGACAGAGAGACAGAGGACAAGTGAAGATGGAGGCAGAGATTAGAGAGATGCAGCCACAAGCCAAGGAAATCCTGGATCCACCAGAAGCTGCAAGAGGCAGGGGAGGTTCTCCCCTAGAGCCTTGGAAAGGAAAGTAGCTCTACTCACACCTATTTTTTTGTTTTCTGGCCTCCAGGATGGTCATAGGGTAAGTTTCTGTTATAACTGCCCAGCGTGTGGTAATTTGTTATGGCAGCCCTAGAAATCAAATGCACCCTCTCAGGGCTGTTTCCTCTCTGGGACTGTCCACTGAGACACCTTTCTTCTATCCACGTTGACTGTGTTTTTCTGAAGCAGGACTAGAGGCGAATACACTTCTCTTTGTGCATCTGCACTGAGCCCCACTCTGGTTTCCCTTACCTGCTGAGCTGCATTCTTCTGGCTCCTGACTCCACCGTTCTCTTCCTGTCTGTCTGCCCACTGGACTCCTCTGTTGGAGCTGGACATGAACCAAGCTGGTGGAAGGAGGGCATGCCTGTGGCCGCCAGCCAACGCTGCCTCCCAGGACAGTGCTGGCCCAGGAATCCGTGAGCTGCGCTATAGCCTGAGTTCCCTCTTAGGCAGGCATCCCAGTGGGTCCTGGTCAGAATGGGCATACGACCACGTTTGTGCACATAGATGGTGCTGTTGTCACTGCAGGCCTTGGTTAGGGTTAAGATCTCTTCAGTCTGTATCTGTCTTCTTACAGGGCATCTTTTTACAGGTTTCTGCTAATGTAGGCTTGCTGGCAGTCATCTATCCACAGAAGTCCTTAACTGAGAGCCAAATGTTATTTCCTCCTCTTTCACAGGCATTCTGCCCAATAGCCCTTGATTTATTTTGAGAGGTTTGGGGTCATTCCAAAATATCTTCTCCCACTGAAGACTGTCGTGACTCTTAGAAAACACACACTGTCCCTGGGTTTTGTGACTCACCCGTGCCTTAGTTGGCTTTCAGATGTGTTCGTGTTCATGGTGAAGTGCTCCAGGCTAGAAGCTGTGCCTGTATGGGGGCGCCATGGCTGTCTTGGGTGTTACGCTGTGCCAGGCTAGACCTGGTAAATGGGATGCACTCCATAAAGGCCATTCTGTGAATGTGCATGTGTGTGTGTGTGTGTGTGTGTGTGTCCAAGATCCCCAGGGAAAAATGGAGAAGGGATGTGGCATTGCCATCCCCGCTGCGGGGGGGCGAGTTCTTTCTGTCTCCTTGTCTCTTTTCCAAGCGCATGCGCCCTATAGCAAAAATCACTCAAAAAAAAAAAAAAAATCCAATGAAGGTCCATGGCTTCTGTTTGATTTTTATGACTCCGAGTCTGTCCTGATGGTGAACAGAAACCCCCTCTTGACTCTTTGTCCTCCTTGCCGTCAGCTTATTGAAGAGACCCGGCTAGTTTTGCCTTTGCCCAAATGCTCGTTTGTGGTTTCTGTGGGCCATGTACGCATGAGTGTTGTGTCCTTGAAGAGGAGCAGCATTGGTGGCTCTGTCTTTGTTCTGCTAAGATCGCCAGACTCATGAACACTGGGTTGGCCGTTGTCACCTGAGTCTCTCAAATGG